GGGCTTTCCGTACCATTTCTGTAGGGATCTAATCCTGGCCAGGTACTTCTCTTTTCTGGTTGTTTAAAACCTCCATAGGGATGCCCTGAGGGGGCAGGGATGGAAGAAAAATAGTGGCATGCTCCCACTTGAGACAATAAAATGAGACATTACCCACAGTAGACTATAGTTTCTCAAAATAATATGATCATCTCTCTTCTTTCTTGCATATTTTGAACAGTAGTGCAATAGTTAAAACAAATATTTTTTATTGTCATTAAGCTACAGAGCCAACACATTGCAGAAGTACTGCTTTAGGCTGTGTGCAGTCTCAGACAGATGTCCTTCCACCAGTTTGTACTTGCTTCAAAATGCAAAGATTTTCTTTGCAAACACAGGGGCTACAGACTTTTTATAAATGAAAGCTTAAATTCTGGAGCATGAGAAAGCATCCTCTTTTAAAAGTACTACCAGTTTGGTAAACTTCTGCAAGCTAGCTCAATTCAATCCCAGCAGCTGTATTTGAGTTGTTTGGCATCATTTAATTGTATCCAGGGAGCCTTTACATGTCTTATGAAGCCACTATAGGATACCAGTAAAAAGCAACAGAGAGTCCTGTGGCACCTTTAAGACTAACCAATGTATTGGAGCATAAGCTTTCGTGGGTGAATACCCACTTCGTCAGACGCATGTGTCTGACGAAGTGGGTATTCACCCACGAAAGCTTATGCTCCAATACATCGGTTAGTCTTAAAGTGCCACAGGACTCTCTGTTGCTTTTTACAGATCCAGACTAACACAGCTACCCCTCTGATATAGGATACCAGAACTCTCTCAACCTGTTGTAGCACCATGGTGCAAGTGAGTGGAATGTTATTTTAGGGCTAGATGATGGGAATTCTGCATTCAGATCCCTAGACAGATGAGCTTCAAGACTGATGATGGCTGTGGGATTTTAAAAAGGCTCTTGTGACACAGGGCGGAGTCACATGAATGGCTCAGAAACAGCATTGCCAACTACTCTTTAAAGAAAGAAGGAGTTTATGGCCTCGGTGCCCTTAGTAAATCTGGATCCACGGCACTGGTAAAGGCCAAACTAGAGAGCTCACATGTGATTGGGCTCTAAGAGGACACTACCTATGCTGATGGAATGACAGTCTAGCATTTAGGCTGGCAGTTAATGCCCAACTCCCATGGATTTGGGCATCTAACTCCTACTGTATTTTTCACACCATGCATCTGATGAAGTGGGTTATAGTGTTCTGCTGCTGTCAATCTGCAGAAGACAGCTGTCCTTCTGTGAAACCTGACAACTCTTGGAGCTTTTCTCTCAGGGCAAACTGCACCAATTTAACTAAATCAATTGCTAAACTGATTTAATTAAAATCAGTGCAGCCCCCTTGGGTGGACAGTTACATCGGTTAATTAATATTGATTTAGCTTAATTCAATTCCTTATTTGATATTAACGGATATTGATTTAGCTTAATTCAATTCCTTAGTACTTAGTTAAATCAGTGCAATATCTGTGTGTGTAGACCAGGTCTAAATCTAATGAATTTGCAGGAATTTGCCTCTTTCTGGGCAGCTTGGAGTGCAGTGTTATCTAAGCTGCTATAGGCAGCAGACAAACAACTGTTATTTCCTGTTATCCCAGCTACAAGGTGCAGCATGAGATATGGGGAGGGGCCCTATGAAAGATTCAGCTGATACATCTGTGGTTTTTACAGGAATTAACTAGCTCTGCCTCTTGGAGGGTTTTCAGGAAGAAAGCAGTTTCTCGCAGCTGCCATTCGGTAAAGAAAAAATCCCCCACAAACTCAGATGTCATTTCCTGTCATTTCAGCTGTGTTAGCATGGCATCCTGAGACGTGCGGAAGTGCCCTGTGAGAAACGCTGTGTCTGGCTTTAGGATGTCTAGCCATCATTTTATGCCTGTCTGCAAATTCTGAGGAGGATGCTCTGAGTGTCTCGTTACACTTGTGCAACAAAGCATGGGGAAGGGACTCTCTAAAATTCTAAATCATATTGGGCAAATTCACTGCTAGGGTAACTCTATTGACATCAGCAGAGTTACAGCCAGGAACAAACGTGAACTGTTATCTTTGAGAGAGTGGCTTGGTAATGAGATAGCTTATCATAGACTGAGTACCATCCGTGTAAAAAAAATCAATGTCAACAGCCAAGTCCTTACTGAACTTCATGGAGTCTCTGGCATTTCTCCCTTTTTGGAGTAGAACTCTTTCAGTAGGGTTTTAGTTTTTGATTATTCAGATTTGAGCAACTAACCCTTTTTGGGGGATGAGGATTCAATATTGTGTGTATCACGCTTGTAGTGGAAAGATTTTTTCAAAAAGTTTTGTAGCATTTCCAAAAGACCAGTCAGATGAATTTTCCTAGTCTCCTCTGGAAGTTTGTTCAATAGCTATTTCCCCTCAACCGAGATATACGAACATAGCCACACTGGATCAGACCGATGGTCCATCGAGCCCAGTATCCTGTCTTCTGACAGTGGCCAATGCCAGATGTTTCAGAGGGAATGAACGGAACAGGACAATTATCGAGTGATCCATCACCTGTCATCCACTCCTAGCATCTGGCACTCAGAGGCTAGGGACACCCAGAGCATGGGTTGCATCCCTGACCATGTCAGCTAATAGCTATCGATGGACCTATCCTCCAGCAACTTATCTAATTCTTTTTTGAACTCAGTTATACTTTTGTCCTTCAAAACATCCCCTGGCACTGAGTTCCACAGGTTGATTGTGTGTTGTGTGAAGAAGTACTTCCTTTTGTTTGTTTTAAACGGGCTGCTTATTCATTTCATTATGTGACCCCCTGGTTTGTGTGTTGTGTGAAGGGGTAAACAACACTTATTTATTCACTTTCTCCACAGTATTCATGATTGTATAGACCTCTAGCCTAGCGCCCCTGAGTTATCTCTTTTCCAAGCTGAGCAGTCTCACTCTTTCAGTTCTATTATGGGAACTGTTCCATACCCCTAATCATTTTTGTTGCCATTCTCTGTACCTTTTCCAGTTCTAATCTATCTTTTTTGAGATGAGGCAAGCAGAACTGCATGCAGTTTGCAAGCTGTGGGCGTACCCTGTATTTATATAGTGGCATTATATTTACTGTCTTACTAATGGTCCCTGCTTTTTTGACTGCCACTGCAAGTTGAGCTGACGTTTTCAGAGAACTATCCACAATGACTCCAAAATCTTTCTTGAGTAGTAACAGCTAATTTAGACCCCATCATTTTGTATGTGTTATTGAGATTATGTTTTCCAATATGCGTTCCTTTGCATTTACCAACATTGAATTTCATCTGCCATTGTGTGACCCAGGCACCACGTTTTGTGAGAGCTCTTTGTAACTCTTCGCAGTCAGCTTTGGACTTAACTATCTTGAGTAATTTTGTATCATCTGCAAACGTTGTCACCTCTTTTTCCAGATCATTTACTAATAGGTTGAAAACTACAGGCCGTAGTATGGATCCTTGAGGAACTCCATTATTTACTGCACGCCATTCTAAAAACTGACCGTTTATTCCTACACTTTGGTTAAAAGATAGAAAACAGTTACCGATCCATAAGAGGACCTTCCATCTTATCCCATGACTGCTTACTTTGCTTGGTGAGAAACCTTGTCAAAAGCTTTCTGAAAGTCCAAGTATACTATATTCACTGGCTCACCCTTTTCCACGTTTGTAGACCCCCCTCACAGAATTCTAATAGATTGGTGAGGCATGATTTTACAAAAGCCCTGTTGACTTTTCCCCCACAAATCATGTTCATCTATAGGTCTGATAATTCTGTTCTTTATTTTAGTTTCTA